GCTTGTTAGGGAGGCTGTGTAGCGTCTATTCATGTTTTCCCTACAATGGGACGCCAGAAACCCACACGGGAACTCATGTCTATGTTATTGTTTATTTCAAACAGCAATTACACATGATTAAAATAATTGTTTCGCACCTGAACAAATCTCAAGCGCCATTAAACACCCACCTTTAGAAAATAATGCAGGGATGGGGGAGGGAGGGGTTCTGAGCGAACCCCTCTCGCCGATGATGTTTGTCTGTAGTTATGCCCCACCTCTCGGTATTTGTCCAGTACATGGCGGGTACATCTAAGTTCCATCAAACAGGCTGTGTTTTTTTAGCCTATAAATAGTGGCCAGGTTTGTGGCAGCGCTCACAGTCAAACGTTCAGGACGCTGGTGCCAGAAAAAAAAAAAAAACTATTGGTTTGCGGTGCAATACGTTGTACAAATCGAAAGGCAATATGGGCGCTCCAAGAGAGCACATTTTGTTCATATGTGTTTTCTGTAAGTATTTATTTGATTTGATACTTTTGGACTTATCATCATCATGTATCATCATCTGTATCATGACTAAAAGCATCACTATCACGTAGCCATCATCATGAATTGCTGCTGTACGTCGCATAAGGTTTACAGTCTATTCCTCAATTCGGTTCTGTTCTCATCTTGATCCTTTAGTACCTTGCGGTGTCGAGGTGAAGTATAATTAACGGGAAAGTTCCCGTTTGTCTGCTTTGTAAATGAGAATTCCCGGGGTCTCTGTAATCTCCTCTGTCCATAGCTCTTGTAAGTTCAGCCTCTTCTTTGCTTTAACCTGGTCGGTTTATCATTGCTTGCTGTGGTATACTGTCTGCTGACATCCACGTTACATGGCCGAACCATTTCACCTGTTGTCTTCTAATGAAATTCAGAGCTGCTGCTACCCATAGTTTCCTTAAGGATTTCATCGTTTCTGATCTTATACCTTCTTGTTATATTGAGAGCTTTTCACGGAAATCTAATGTTAGCTGTTGTCGTTTTATTTTATTTTTTTCTGTCATCTATCTCTGTCTATCTTCTTTTACCCCAACCAGCACATCACACAAGCGAAAAACACCCGATAACACAAAGCGCCACCATGCGGACGAGGATCACCGTGGAGAGGTCCCAGAAACCGCGTTCATCCACTAGACCATATTTATGGCCGGGCTATATTGCGGCCCCTGAGAAGAGCCAAAATAGGGCTTCAAATAACGAAACAATTTTATCTTACAAGAAGATGACAAGATTAAATATGTTTTTTTTTTTATGTCATGACTGACTGACCTTCTATCCCACTAGGACATCACACAAGCGATAAACACCCGATAACACAATGTGCCACCATGTGGATGAGGATCACCGTGGAGAGGTCACAGAAACCGCGTTCAGCCATTAGACCATATTTATGGCCTGGTTAAATTGCGGCCCCCGGCAAGAGCCAGGGTGGGGCTTGAAATAACGACAAATTTCATCCTAAAATGGAGGGTGAATATTTAGACATATTGTTATTTTCTGTCATTGTCAGAGTCTGGTATTCATACCATAGGGTATGCAAAAAGATTGTGTCATAAAGTGCTTGTTTTATTTCTGCTGATACGTGTTTGTTTCTTCCTTTAACGTTAAAATGTATGTCAAATATGATTACATATGCATTTCTTATAGATTAGAACATAATCCTACTCTTGTTATCCCATTTTATTATGTTGGGAAAGGGGGATAGTCCTTGTCATAGACTCAAGGGGACGCAACCAGAACACATTTGAAGACAACTGCTCTAGAGGAAATGGTGGTAAAGTTTTCATGAGTATATGTTTTAACGTACTGTAACCATCTTCCTTTTGGTCAACCTTTGCCTCGTCACCAGAAGCCATGATTTCCATTACTTCTCCTCGATGTTTGAAATGGCGGAGAATATCTCAGTTTTTCCAAACATATTATTTTTGAGCCACTTCGATTTTTAGATTTTGTAGAAAGTATTGTTCGTTTTGTTTTTTACTTTTCTGATCTTCTGCGTCCCGTTGTGGGATGCAGTTTTTTGTATTGAAAGTCCAACCCTGGCTTCTGCCGGTGGCCTTGAATATAGCCGGGGCATAGATATGGCCTAACGGCTGAAAAGGGGGTTTCTGAGACCTCTTCACGGGTGATCCTCGTCCGCATGGCGGTACTGTGTGTCACCGGGTGTTTATCGCTTGTGTGATGTTCGGGTGGTGTACGTACCTACAGACCTTTGTGGTCAACTTTTTAACATTTACATTTCGCACAAAAATGCCTGGCATGTGGTACCAGAAGATGTAATAAGAGAAATGAGGTGGAGACAGTCAATGCGCCTTCCGCTGGCCGGAAAAGAGTTGTACTCACCTGTGACTGCAGCTGATTGTAGGTGAGTCAGGTGAATTAGGATGGGTGGAAAATGTCATGGTCGACCTCAACTCTGGAATTGCTCAAGCTGGTGGTACTGGGGTAAATTCACGCAAAAACTTGTCCATGGACGGTACTGCACGGAGAGTGAAAATCATGAAGAGAGTATGCAAAGGAGACAATGATAACAGACAGGTTAAAAGTTGAGACTTTTCTTAAAGCTACTGGGCCTTGTTAGCAGTGATTCCTACGCCTCCTTATAATGCAACATAAGAAAATCGCCTGGAAATGGAGAAAGATACCAACAGGTGAAAAAAATTGAAGACAGACACGCTTTGTGCAGAATTGCATGCCTCGTTTTGAAGTCCTTTTTTGGTAAACTTCCTGTAAACTATTATGACTACTTAACTGTTCGTCTTGTCTTGCCCACATACCCTCTTCCATCTTTCCTCATGTCTATCCCTCACTACGGCTGTCCATTCATCAACTAACTATGTATTTCTAATTAATTTTTTCCCCCGGATTTTTAGTGGTATCATCCTCGGCGTGCCAAAAGACTGTACAATTTCCACTTCAGAATTGTTCTACCGCTAACTTTGATGTGCTTATCATCACAAACTATAAGTGGCAGGCTGACTGTATTGTCCCAAGGGAAGTGATTTTCTTCTTTCGTGAAGTCCAGCACATGTTTCAGCCATCAGTGGGAAAGTCACGGGATGGACTCAGCTTTTCTTTGATATCATACTCAATCCCAAACTTGCAGACGATTGTTTTTCATCAGCACAATATCTCCATGACTACCAACAACAACACATCTCAACAAGCAATTTGTACAACAACAACAACGTATTTTGAGCAACCGAAGGAGTCTAACGTTTCTCTAGTTGTTGATTTTATACGTTCATATTTCGCCAAAAGAGGAGACAACAGCAATGACGTGAACAACGTTGCGATACTGATCCTTGAAGGACCAAATTTGGGAGCAGCTGAAGATATTTCTGTTGTACAGAAGAATAGATACAATCAAACGACAATACGATTGTTTGTTATTTTGGCAGGCTTCAACCAAGATATTTTGAAAACGCCACAGATTCCAAATACTCTGTTTGTTCCAGCCATCTCTGATGTTAAGAACAACCAGCTGATCTCAATGTTTATTTGTGGACAGTGCAAATCAGACTGGTTTGCTTTCGGTGAGAAACAATCACAGAATCGAATTTCTTGTTATTTTCTTGATGTTGCTAAAGATGGCTTAAAAAACTGGGTTGATGGCAGTCGCAGATGCCAGATGCTTGGTTCCAATCTGGCCTCAATTGAGACCCAAGAAGAGCACCATTTTTTAGAGAGAAAAGTGTTTGAGAGATTGGTCAGTTCTAGAAATGCTTTCCAGGACTTTGACATCTTCATTGGCTTGAGAAGAGATCCCGACAATCTGGCAAATCGATTCCATTGGCGTAGTGGCAATCCGTTAATCGTATCCCAGTGGGCAGATGGCAACCCGCATAACGACTACTTACAAACCTGCGTTGTTTGGGGGTTCAGGGTGGAGAGGATGAATCGGTCAAGCAATTCCGGAAATGAAAGCGAGTTCTCCAAAGATATGATGACCTACAAGAACGGGTGGGTTGATGTAGGTTGTGGGGTGCCTGTAAGTTACGTCAGCATTTGTGAGGTAGAACTCCTTATACCAAACACCGGCGAGAAAAGATCGATGAAAGTGAAGCCAGCTACAACAGATGTTATAAACAAAGCAATTAAAAAAGGAGAATTTATAAAGTATAATGGGAACATTTTATCAATACCGGCCAACGCCGGCAATCCTGATGTCTTCAGTAGTGGGCAAGAGCAGTTTGGCGAATTCGAATTGTTTTATTGCGATGAATGTTGGTTACACAGCAACCCGCTATCCTACTCTCAACTTTGTGACCGAGTACAGAACTGCGTGTTCGGAGGGGATGAGAGTATATGCTCGTTCAGAAACTGTGATCCTAGTAAAGAGTTCCAGTGTCTTTCTGGGCAGTGCGTGCCGAAGGAAGCTCACTGCGATCTTTACAATGACTGTTTGGACAAAAGTGACGAACTCCGGTGCACAGAATGCAAGCACACGCGCTGCTGTGACGGCAGCTGTATTCCTAAACACTGGCCCGCTGAAATAGACTGTGACTCCTGCTCTAAACATACTCACAACGCGTATGTAATCACGACAAATATCACTGTGGAGTTGTGTCCATTTGTTTGTAACAGGACATCGTGTATAGACCCGTCTCAGATCGGTGATGGTGTTGTAGACTGTACAGGACCTGAAGGACCGTTAGATGAACAGCTTGGGAAACTGGAGACAGTAGAATCGTGTCATAACGGGAATGGGGAGGAAGGGTGGTCACCTCGCTGTGTTTACATCAAAGATAGGTACAGTGGAATCCTGGGATGCAAGGATATGTCCCACTTGTGGGACTGTGATAACTTCGTATGTCCCGCTGGTTACGTCAAGTGTCCTAAGTCTTATTGCATTCCGTTACACCTGGTACAAGATGGACAGCGCGACTGTCCATTTGGAGAGGACGAGGAGTATACTCAGGACTACAACTGCTGGGGAAATTTCGCGTGTGCCAACAGCCTAATGTGTCTACACCCTGACCTAGTTTGTGACGGATCTCCACAATGTCCTTGGGGTGACGATGAACTCAACTGTCACACGTCGTGTGCAAGTGGATTTCGGTGTATGGCGGGAACGGTCAGAGCCACAAACTATGACAAGAGGATTCCACTTGCAAGTTTAAAGTTCGTCGATGGACGCTCGCGACTTCTGGATCTTTCTGGTTTAAACATCTCAAAAGCAGTGACAGGTCCCGGTATCACTCATCTGGACAATCTGCTGATTGTCAAGTTCTCTGACTGTAAACTGACAAAAGCAGACGATATATTTTCTGGTCGTGTTTCTACTCTACAATCTATTTATCATTTTGATCTCAGCTACAATCTTCTAAAGAAAATATCTAAAAATAGTTCTTTCCGTTACATGTCAAATTTGCGGATTCTAGATCTGTCACATAATGAACGACTAACAACTTTGGAAGAGAAAGCCTTCCTGGTATACAGTGGGAAATCTCTTTTGGAAAGACTGAACCTGCAGTTCACAGCGATAGCCACTTTGCACAGTTCTGTTCTTCAAGGTTTAAATAATCTAAAGATGCTTAATCTGAGTTACACATCAATCACATCTTTGAATGAAGATTCGTTCCCCAAGAATTTCAGACTCCAGGTGCTGGATTTACGTGAGACAGACATTATTGTCTACGGAACAAACACTTTCAACGGTTTAAGGGTAGATAATCATTTGTACAGCGAAAGCTTCGGGTTATGCTGTCCCGAGATCAGGGGAGAGAACATCTCACAGGATGTTTGTCATTCTCCACAAGACACTATCTCCTCATGTAATCATCTGGTTCGTGAGCAAGTCCAGCGGGTGTTGCTGTGGTTTGTCGGTATCGTGGCTATACTGGGAAATATCACCGTCATCCTTTGTAGGCTTTTGTGGCAGAGCGGTGTCATTAAAAAGTCGTACGGTGTCTTTGTGACCAATTTGGGAATCTCGGATTTAATCATGGGCCTCTATTTGTTGATAATTGCATCGGCAGACTTATATTATACGACCAAGTATGTGCTGAGCACCAATGTTTGGAGGCAGAGCTTAACATGTCAGGTTGCAGGATTTCTGTCAACGCTTTCTAGTCAGACCTCAGCCTTCTTCACCATGCTAGTCACCATTGATAGATATCTGGTGATGAAGTTTCCCTTTGGCCAGTATCACTTCTCGAAACGAGGCGTCCTGGTAGCAACTTGCACAGCCTGGGTCGTTGGTTTCACTTTGGCAGTGACTCCTCTTTTGCCAGTGATCCGCACTTGGAAGGTCTACACATCCAATGGTATGTGCCTGGGTTTGCCTCTAAATTCTGAACAGACAAAAGGATGGCGATACTCCGTCTCCGTCTACATTGTCCTGAATAGTATCATTTTTGTGCTGATGGCTACTGGCCAATTTTTAATTTACCGAGCCATGTCGGGGAATCGCGCCGCCACAACTGCAGTTCAAAATAGCAAAAGGCGGGTACAGGACATTACTGTTGCCAAGCAACTGTCCTTGATCGTGCTGTCCGATTTCCTTTGCTGGTTCCCAATTGGCCTGATGGGCATGTTAGCTATTACAGGACACGAGCTGAGTAAAAACGTGTACTCATGGGCGGCAATCCTTGTTCTTCCTGTGAATTCAGCGCTCAATCCTCTGTTGTACACGGTACCCATTCTCCAAGACAAGTGGAGACAATTCATTGCCGCTCAGTCGAAGCAGTTATGTCAGGAAGATACAAATAACAAGGGTGACGCATCGCAGACAACCGCAAAATAACATATCTGGCCTTCAGCGTTACGCCTTAGCGCTAAGACGATGTCAAAAAGCTAAACACTAGGCATTTCTTAATCATAACTGCATGTGATATATAATTTCACAAATGTGAGCTTTTTAACTGACTAACAGAATGGGTTGTTTTCTCCCTCGCAGCTGGCACCTCAAGGTTTGATTACCACGCATAAGTTGACATTTTTTGCTATAATTCCGTCCGCATGGGAGCCTTAATTTTTCGTTACTTTGAAGCCACACCCTGGCTGTTGCTGGAGGCCCTAATACAACCCAACATGTGGCCAGAAACGGGGTTTCTGGGATCTTTCACGGGGTGATCATCGTCCGAATGGTGACGCTTTGGGTCAGCGGGTGTTTATCGCCCGCTCTATGTCCTGGTGAGGTTAAAACATCAGCCTGTCAGAGTTTACTTCTTCTTCTTGTTTGCTTTCACCAGATATAAACTCCGGCGGAAAGTTCTGGTTGTTCGTCCTCCTCTGGACTCTAGTCTTGTCACAGAACCCGAGTCTTGCGTGCACATTCGTTTCACAAATCTAACTTATTTGTATGCAGACTGCTGCTTCCTAACGTCTCAGGCAAATGCAATCCGTCTTCGATGAAACCCTCAATTAGTCGACTTTTACGACATGCTTGTTGGGAAGGCAGTGGGTCTATTTTTGTTTTCCCCCACAATGGGGTCCTGAAACCCACTCTGGGAGAATTAACATCCATAGGGACTGCAAGTTGTACCTGGCTGGTTCAGCCGTTAAGGCTGTCCAAATTATAACTTGCTTGGAGGATGAACGGGGTGTCTGAGCTTATCATGTTTTCTGCGCTCAATACTAAGATACTTGAGTGTCGCGGTGTTAAACATTCAGCGCCTGTTGTTCTACCATCAACACTGAGATACTTAAGTCTCAGGTTGTTAATTATTCAGGGTCTTTCGGTCGGTCATCAAGACTGAGATACCTGAGTCTCACGGTGTTAAATATTCAGGGTCTTTTGGTCTGTCGTCAACACTGAGATACTTAAGTCTCACGTTGTTAAATATTCAGGGTCTTTTGGTCTGTCGTCAACACTGAGATACTTAAGTCTCACGGTGTTAAATATTCAGGGTCTTTTGGTCGGTCGTCAACACTGAGATACTTATGTCTCACGGTGTTAAATATTCAGGGCCTTTTGGTCGGTCGTCAACACTGAGATATACTTAAGTCTCACGGTGTTAAATATTCAGGGCCTTTTGGTCGGTCATCAACACTGAGATACTTAAGTCTCACGGTGTTAAATATTCAGGGCCTTTTGGTCGGTCATCAACACTGAGATACTTAAGTCTCACGGTGTTAAATATTCAGGGCCTTTTTGTCGGTCATCAACACTGAGATACTTTAGTCTCACTGTGTTAAATATTCAGGGCCTTTTGGTCGACCATCAACACTGAGATACTTAAGACTCACGGTGTTAAACTTTCAGGGCCTTTTGGTCTGCCATCAACACTGAGATTCCTTAGTCTCACGGTGTTAAATATTCAGGTTTTTTTTATCTGCCATCAGCACTCAGATTCTTTAGTCTCACGTGATAGTATGAAATGGCAAAACATGACAACCTACGCTTACCTGGCACGGCACTAGATGTTGATGACGAGGAGGAGGAGGTGAAGGAGTGGGTTAACAATCAATGTTTCGCACCACCTGAACTTGGTCACGCCACTGTTGATAAGTACAAACTGTCATGGCTGGTCACCAGAAACCACCGGTCAGGTTTGAGAGTATCACTCGGCAAATATCTTGTGGTGAAGGTATTCTCGTGTGGTCGAGAGTTAGGTTGACTGCATCACTCTATGGTGCAAAAGCGGAGAAATTAGCGGTTGAAACCGATGTCTACTTATATTTGTACAGTAGCAGTCTTCAGTAGGAGGACTTCAATGAGCTGCTCTTTGCCGACGATCAATGCATATTTCACAGTGATAGTAAACAGCTGCAAGACCACATAAACCTACTACACGACAGTTGCCTCAAGCATCTTATGAAGATCAATACTGAAAAGACAGAAGTCATGAGCATAAGTAGAGAGCAACAGACCATCGACATAAAGATTCTAGATCACAGCCTAAAACAAGTGCAAGAATTTAAATACTTGGGAAGTATCTTTACATTCAATGGTAAAATAGACAGAGAGATCGAAGCAAGAATCCACCAAGCCAACAATGTCGCATACCAGCTTGCCCCAATTTAAAAACACCCTGCTGTCCCAGCTGAGATAAAAAGACAAATTATAAATACAATCTTTATACCGACATTAGGTTATCAATGTCAGAGAGAGAGAGAGAGAGAGAGAGAGAGGAGAGAGAGAGAGAGAGAGAGAGAGAGAGAGAGATAGAGAGAAAGATATATATATATATATATATATATATATATATATATATATATATATATATATATATATATATATATATATATATATATATATATATAGAGAGAGAGAGAGAGGAGAGAGAGAGAGAGATAACACATTTGCAAGGTTGACCTTTGTGCCTCCTGCAGACCTCTTTTTAGGTCATGAAATTTTTGTTAGCACCATGCTGACCCCACACAGTGGTACCTCGGCTAACGAACTTCATTCGTTCCTGACTGTGGTTCACATCTCAAAAAGTTCGGGTTTCGATACCCAGTTTCCCATGACAACTTACGGGAAATCACGTAAGCCGTTCCAGAAAAACTGCCTGGTTACCCAAGCTCTGCTGTTACTTGTGAGACTGTTGAGTTTGTGTCTGTTAACTTTCTGTGTTTTAAAAACTCTTAACTTCTCAGAGGGAAAAACTAAAAGAGTTGTCTTCAGATCATCACTGGCAGTGGCACAAAACATAATAAATAGCCTATCTTCCATCCTCATGAGACTTAGCATTGTCGTTTCCTCCCTCCCAAAACAGGTTCCATTTGGCATTTTTTACCAGAAAAGCATAGTTTTGTCAGAGTTGAAAACATGTTCTGGAAAAAAACGTTTAGACGAGTTCGTAAGTCGAAGATACCGCTGTATTTTTAGACCGATCGGTATTCAAAGCATGATATGGCCAGTATTACTCTGGTAACATTGATTTCCCTGGACTTGTAGGCTTACCACCACCTGTATACAAACTGTTACCTGCTAATTAGTAGCTACGATCCCTAGTGTGGGTTCCTGGGCCCCATTGTGGGTAGGGAGAAAACAGACCCACTGCCACCCTAATAAGCATGTCGTAAGGGT